TCTTACATATAATGGAAATACTTCTAAAATTATTATATGCAATCTCTTTTAATCATCAGTCACGCTCATTCACTCTACTTTATCTTACACAGACATAAGCACACCACTCTTACCATAAAAAATACTAATCAGGACGAAAAACACAGGAGGGAATGGCACTGGACAAGACATTTTCACAGCTCAATGCATACAAGGCACTAAGTTTGGGCATCATCTGCTGTGGAGTGCCTAAAGGTTCATGAGACTCTCTACCAACTAAGCACTAGAGGCTAAAAGCACATAAAAAATATAGACGCAGAATCCAATGTTCCACAGAAACCAGCACTAAGTTTTGACAACTACACTAAATATAACAAAAAAATATCAATCCCACTAAAGGTTCATGAGACTCTCTACCAACTAAGCACTAGAGGCTAAAAGCACATAAAAAATATAGACGCAGAATCCAATGTTCCACAGAAAGGAGTGAAGCTACAGCTATATAAGAGTTACTCTAATACAAAGCTGCCAAGTGGTAAACATGGGATAAGCAAGTACAACCACTAGTAAACACTTACATACTATGGAAGGATAATAGAACTTACATAACTACTAGAATTAATATACATGATTAGTAGAATTAATATCTTCCTATTTCAACAATGCATAGAGAATGCATCATTAAATAATAATCATCATCACAACATGGCAGTGATTGTATAATTAAAAATAAGCATGAGATCGTGCATGAGATCTGGAGCAAAAACACACAATACATAACAATAATGAGAAATATGGTAAAATATATTAGACCTGTAGAATATAAAATTGCATGCAGCCAATCAGCTTCTTTATCTAAGTAATAACTATGCAGATGATGTTTATAGAAATGCAATTTCAAGTACTTCTTTTCAAAAAATTAAAAGTATAAATATGGAACTTGCTCTATTAAACAACTTACACATTCAGAAAAACATGAATGTGGTAATCATCAAAGCAGTGGTAAAGGGATTACCTTATGATTATAAGTGGATCAAAACCTGTACATTTTCCCACTTTATACAAACCTCTCTCAAACAATCATGTAAAAGCTAAAATCTTCCTGTACAACTCCAAAAATTCTTCATTCTAGTAGTACTTACATATAGGGCAGGAATTGATAAATGCAATTAGCTCTTTTTCATTATTAGTGTCATTGCTCAAGTGTTACAGGATCACCAAAAAATTACAGACTGAGGAGGAATAGATTGAAATGGAACATCTAGTGAACGTTGTAGGAAAATCTAGAATACTATTTCACTTTCATTTTGGGAAGTGAATGTTCCATATCTTTTTAATTTAAAGCATCAAGCAAAGTTCTGACTGACAAAATTTTATGATCCCCAAAAAAGCATTATGACTGACTAATAAAGTAGATTTAGTAATAACATAGTAAGTAATGCATGTAACTGCTTATCAAAATGTCAATTGAACAATAACAATGACGATATCATTATGGTATGGCAGACTATGGTTACCAAATTCTAAACACAAAAAGTACCTAGAAAAATAAGATTCTCATGTTACAAGCTGCCATTTCTTAATCCAACAACAATAACAACATATGGACATCACATTATCACAGTTGAACTTGTCATTCACTTTATTGCTGCTCTTCAGTTTGCTGTAAGGCAAAAATACTTGTCTCATTAGCATTAATGCTATCTGGAGTGATTCCAATGATATACTGATGGCCATCTTCCGATAGCACAACTTGAGGAAGGCTCATCAGTGTCTGGTCTCCACTGACGCTCAATACTGTTGCTTCTGAATTGCTGCTGTCAACAATACCCAAAACTGTCCTTTCTGAAGCACCGGGGTTTAATATAGTACCTTCCTCTTCCATGGTGCAGTCTCCTGACTTACAACCTTCATTCCCCTTGTGATAACTTTCAAGTCTGTTCTGGGAACTTAGCAAGCCCATTTCCTGATCATGGGTTCGTGTTTCCTCCATGTCCTCTAGCTTAATGGTGATGACCTGAGTATTTTGGTCATCATTAGCAGTAGTAACAGTTTCAAACATAATTGTCTCTGGACCAATTTCGTGACTCGTTGAATTCACTGGTGCTTCTCTGGATGCCTCCATCTTAACCTTTACTGATTTATTTGAATCAATAGCTGTTTTTTCTGCATGGCTCTTTTCATTTTCTTTCTTTGTTTCAGGGGCATCATTCCTCATCTTGAAAGCCTCTTTAACTAACTGTTTTTCATGATTTGAAGAATGGGCAATATACTCAGTCAAGTTTGGAGTTTCCATAAGACAAATCTGAAAAGGAAAAAGGAAGTGTTTATCAGAAGTACCAGATTTATTCCTCAATATATTCATTTCCTTTACCTTATTTCTCTTTCACACCAAACATTTCATGTATGTTTGGACTTTAAGCTATAAATATATACATATAGAACAAGAATTTCTTCAAAAACACAACAAATTGTCTACATTTTCTATCCTCCATATCCTTTCCATAGCCAATCCCATCCA